CTCCTGTGGAACGCCTGGTGGTTTCAAACCGCAGACCTTGTGGTTAGCAGCCCAACAAGTAACCCACTGTACCACCAGGGCTCTGCTAACTATAAAGTATACCAAACAACAACAAAACCCGAATGCCCTAAGCACAGCCCGTCATAAGCCAGATGCAACCCCAATTGAGGCCTGCTTCTATTTCCCAGAGGTAACTTATCTTAACTCCTGTGAGCAGGGTAAATTCCCAGGCTGGGCCCCAGACTGACTGGATCACAGTCCCCAGGTGGGGCTGAGAGCTTGTCACTGAGAACCCAAGGGAGTCTTACCATCAGAGTAAGGTTGTATGTGCTCTAAGCCCTAACATCAGGGAGGATGGCGGTCGGGCCGCAATGGTAAAGCACCAGGCTGCTAACCAAAGGGTTGGCAGTTTGAATCAGCCCTATCAATGCCATGGGGTCAATTCCACCTCAACAGTGACCCTACAGGACACATAGAACTGCCCCTGCGGCTTCTGTGGCTGGTGGTTCTGAACTGCTGCCCTTGTGATTAGCATTCCAACTAGCAGCCACCAGGCCACCATGGGTGCTCTGAACCCACCCAGTGTGCCTAAAGGGATGTCTTCCGTGAAAGGGTCAGAATCAAAGGCTTCAGGGCAGAGTGGGGGCCCTCTCCCTGCCCCCGTCCCTTATCATTCTGCCCCAAGGGGGTAGGAGAGTCGGCTTGGGGCAGGAGAGTCGGCCCATGACCATAGCGTCTAAAGGTGGGCCTTCCCATCGGAATGCAGACCTTTCTGCGGCAATTATCCTATAGGTGCCTGTACAGCTGTGGGTCCAGCCTCCTGAGTTGGTGACTGCACCCTGGGGACCCCAGGTGAATGGGCCAGTCATGTCCCGACGGTCACCAGGGGAAACTGAGGCACAGGCCCTGCGGGGGGGCCTCTGGGCCCCCAGCCCTACAGGTGAAGTGAGGGCGCAGGGCCCCAGGGGCGGTGGGGGGCAGTGGCGTGCGGGGGCGCGACCGGGCCACGTCGGCCGCGGAAGTGGGCGGGGCGGGCTGTGCTTCAACCACTCGGCGACCTCGCGGGCCGGCCCGCCGGCGACGGGGGCCAGCCTTCTTGTCCCCTCACCTGGCCGCCGTCCGCCTCGTCGCCCCACTCGGCCACATTCCCGAAGAAGTCCTCCTCCGCGACGGCACCCGGCGTAGCCCCCGCCATCCTGGTCGAAAGCGAGCGCAGCGCGCATGCGCGCGGCGGGGACGGCCGTGCGTGCGCACGCGCGGCCCCGACGCCCCGCCCTCCGCGGCCGCGCGCCTGAGCCCCGGTGGAGGGGCGGGGCCTGGGGGGAGGGGCGGGGTCGGCGACCTTCCGGTGCAGAGAGGTCCTGCAGCAGGCTCCTGGCTCCTCCCTCACTATTGTGAGGCTGCCGCAGGACCGGGCAGTGTTTCACTCTGCTGTTACTACCTAACCACGAGTGCATGTAGTGGATAAGGGCCATTATCCATCAAGTACCCAGACCCATTGCGTGGGGTCACTCCAGACCCAGAGCAACATTATAGCAAAAAGTCGTTTCCTAGCCTGTAACTGTTCCCATAGCAGACCGCCAAGGCTTTCTTCTGCGGAGCAGCACCAGCCTTCGAGTTATCGCTTAACTGGTGTTTTTTAATCAGAAGGGGAGGAAATTGAGGAGTATAATAATTAGTCCAAAAAATAATAATAATAATAATTAGTCCAACTTTGATTATATCTGTATAACTATAATTAGTAGAAAGATATCAATGTGCTCATGAAATAAAGTTTTAAAAGTTTTTTTTCATCCAGGAAAGACCCACCAGGTAAACGTGCCTAAGAAAAGCACCCGGAGTGAATCCCACGTGTTCCAGACAGAGCATCTTGGCAGGGTTTCCCCGGCCGTGAGCTCCGGTGACCTGTGAGTTAACTTCTCCCCAAACTGAACAGTGGTGGTTCTAGCCTACCCAGCGGCTCCAAGGGATAACAACCTGAAGTTCTGCTCCCATGAAGATGAGCGCTTAGAAAACTTTAGGGGGCCAGTCTGTACCCACCCTGGGTCTCTGGCGGTGGAAATCAATTCAACAGCACCCCACTGACAGCCATTTGCAAAGCAAACAACTTTTACTGTAAAATGGGGGAGGTGTTTCAGTTTTACATTCCACATCTCCTTTTGTTAACACTGATTGCAATCCCCACTGAGTAATGGCTGGTATTCCTCTGCCTGGTCCTCTGCCTCCTCCCGCACCCTTGCCGAGTGTTGTCCTTTTGATCCAAGGGCTGGATCATCCGAGGTAGGTGTTCCTCCACAGTGTCCTTGTTACGCTTAGAGGCCTTTTATTTGACCAAAAATTGGGCCGAGATCAAATCTAGAGCTGACGGATGGATGACTGCAAGTTCACCTTCGCAGGGGTCCCGCTGTCTACCAGTCCAGTGAGCCTCGTTTGTTTGTTTGTTTGTTTCCCTTGTTTTTATGAATTTGAACTTGGGTCCACATTTTTCTCCCACTCTACCCAGGACGGTCTAATCTGGACTTTTTCTGAACAGTAGGTAGTGGTATCTGGCACCCTCTGGGGCAGCGGTTCTCAACCTGTGGGTCGCAACCCCTTTGAGCTTCGAATGACTCCTTCACAGGGGTCTCCCAATTCATAACAGTAGCAAAATGACAACGATGAAGTAGCAATGAAAATAATTTTATGGTTGGGGTCACCACAACATGAGGAACTGTATTAAAGGGTCGCAGCATGAGGAAGATTGAAAACCACTGCCCTGGGATCTTCTGGTCTCTGTCCTTGAGACTGAAGTCTGCATGGCCCATTAATCCACAGTGCTAATTGTGTCCACGTGTTTTGATTTTCCTCACCCTCCTTCCCTCTGCATGGAGAGAGACCCACAATTTCACCTGTGATCGCTGCTCAGGAGCTTTTAAGGCCTCAGTGGGTATGTGCAGAAGTAGAATGCTTTGCTAATTGGGTTTGGTATCGCTGAGACCGCGGTCCTGACCCCAGGCTCAGTGACTCACTCTCTTCAGGTGTTTGGTTTCATGAATGACAGCTTTTTTAGGGCTGCCGATGATCAGGCCTTTCTTCTCTCAGTGGATTCACTCTCCACAAGCACTTACTGTTTGTGTCACCACCACCCCTCAAACAAAAACAACAACCACCCACGGCTGTCCAGTCGATTCGGACTCACCCAGGGGACGTCCATCTTTTTTTTTTTTTTTTTAACATTTTATTAGGGGCTCATACAACTGTTATCCCAATCCATACACACATCAATTGTGTAAAGCGCATTTGTACATCGTTTCTCAAAACATTTTCTCTCCATTTAAACCCCCGACATTAGGTCCTCATTTTCCCCCTCCCTCCCCGCTCCCCCCTCCCTCATGAGCCCTTGATAGTTTATAAATGGGTATTTTGTCATATCTTGCCCTGGGGGACGTCCATCTTTATGGAAGCAGATGGACACATCTTTCTCTTCTGGCAGGGGTAGTGGGTTTGAACCCCAACCTTTCAGTCAGCGGCGATCTCCTTAACCACTGCACCACCAGGGCTCCTTCGCCTCCTGGAAACCTGAAATGTACCTTGTTGTTGTTGTTGTTGTTGTTGTTGTTGCTGCTGCTGTTAGCTGCCATCTAGTCAGGTCTGACTCACGCTGACAACAGCACGAAACACTGCCCGGTCCTGCGCCATCCACACCATTGCTCCTAGTCTTGAAGCCCAGGTTGCAGCCGCTGAGGGCTTTCCTCTGTCGCTGCCCCTGTACGGCACCAAACCTGATGTCCTTCTCCAGGGACTGGTCTCTCCTGACAGACATGTCCAAAGTACCGAGAAAAAAGTCTCTCTATCCTTTCCTCCCCTGGCCATACCTGTTTGTCCTTTTGACAGCCCACGCTACTTCCAACATGCGCTGCCAGCACCTCAGTGCAAAGGTATTGATTCTTCTTCAGTCTCCCTTACTCAGCGCCCAGCTTCCACGTGCATATAAGGTGATGGAAAAGACCAAGTATCTTGGGCCCATAAAAGTCATCCCTCGGTCCTGGAAAAGCTGACCTGCCTCCTCATGGGGTAGCTGTGAAGAAGGAAAGGATGCTTCGACAGCCCTCAGCGCAGCTCCCAGCATGCAGCAGAGACACAAACAGCGCCAGGGAGACCACAGCATCAAGGCCTTCTCCCTTGGAGCAGTCAGTGGTTTCAAACTGATGACCTTGTGATTCGTAGCCCACTGTGCCACAAGGACTCCTGTAACACAACCTAAGAAGTTCCCTATTTCAGGGCAGAGGAACATGCACAGGCCCAGTGGCTAGGACTTCTATATACATTTGTGTGTGTGTGGGGGGGGGGTCGTCCCACATAACTGTGGGGAATGCAGTTGAATCTCTAACCCCCCAAGCTGCTGCCCAGCCGAGCTTGGTGACCCTGGAGGAGGCAGGTTTCTGTGGGGGACCATAATGAGTTCAGATTGGGAGGTGCTGAGCAGTGCGCTGGCCCCAGCCCTTCCAGGTGGGGATGCCTTGCAGGTGGCGGGAGATGGGCGCCTGGGGCTCTGGGTTCAATGGATGGTGTTCAGTTTCTATTCACAGGATTAACATGTGTGCAGCTAATGAGCCCCCTGCTGCTGGCTGGTGTCGGGATTCTTTTTCATTTGCTTTCTGAAAACCTTGAAAGACTGGACAGTGGTTAGACTTCTTTGAATTTTTTTTTAATAGTGTCTGAATTGAAAGCCGGCCAATTGCTATATGTGTAACTAATTGCTCCGACAGAATCCGGGATCCTTTAACTCACCTCGCCCTCGGTAACCCAAAGGTTACTTATTATTTCAATGGATTACCAAACAACCCGTGGTGAAAGCATTCCATTCCAGCCTAAGAAGTCACCATATGATTCAGAAGAATCCCGTCTGTGGGTCTTGTCTCCTGAGGTGACTGTGGCCCAGTTGGTTTTGAAAAAGAACCTTCCTATAAAATGTCCAAATTGGCTTGTGTTGCTTAAAAGAAACATTATAGCCACTGGAAACGAGTCCCTGTTGAAGAAAGAGCCATGGTTTAATCCAGTCCAGGGGAGTTTCCTGAGCACGGCCTGGGGTCACAGACAGGGGTAGGAGTCTGCCTAGTGCTAATCTCAGGAAAGAAGAGAAAAGTGGCTTTGCTGATAGAGGAGAGGCGGGGGTGGGGCTGGACATACAGGAGAGGCTAGGAGGGCTCTGCAGGGCAATGATGCTGCCCCTGCGACAGGCTGCAAAGAGAAGTGGGCCTAGGGGAAAGAAAAGACCCTAGAACAATGCAATGACCGGAGTGCAGGGAGCAAGCGGAGAGCGGGGGAGCAGGGAGGGGAGGGATGGGAGAGAGAGAGAGAAAAGGAGAAAGGGGGGAGGGGGGAGAAGGAGACTGAAGGTTACAGACAGGTAGGTAACCTAGCCGCATGCATGGAGTTTGAGATGTATCCCAGGCTAATGGATGGCCACAGAAGATTTTTTCTTTTTAATTAATTAGTATTTAATTAATGTTTCACTGTGTTCCAGTGGAAGCACACACTGGCTCTCAGCTGACCATTTCCACACACACATACTGTTCAGGACTGTCGGCTACATTGTTTACATTGTGTCAAGTTCTCTTTGATTCTGTGCTACTGTGACAGAGTCCCAGGGTCCCTGGGCCTTCTGGCCTGACTTAAAGTGCTGGTGGCCATCTGAGCTCTTCTCGATGGTGGTTTGGTGCGGTTATGTTTTAAAGAGCACAGAGCTCCACAGTGACCTTCAGGGCCTGCTGGGCTCACCTGCTATGGAGGTCAAAGGTGACTCTCGGCTCAAGGCTTCCAGGTCAGTCTCGGGAACCATCGAGAGCTTCTCTCTATGACCACACCTTCCAGGGGTTCCTTCTGGCTGCTCGCAGGGTGTCCAGGGCAGACACAGTGCCGGAGGTGAAGGCAGTGGCGTGAGGAGGAGGTGGTCCCCAGTCAGATGGGATTTAGAGGGTCTTACCGGCTGATTGTGTAATCAAACCAAGCACACGGCCCTGAGTCCATTCTCAATTGTAACAAGCTACAAGTCAGAGGACTGCTCCATGGCACTCCCAAGGCTGTGAATCTGAGTCCATTCTCAATCGTAACAAGCTACAAGTCAGAGGACTGCTCCATGGCACTCCCAAGGCTGTGAATCTGAGCAGCACCGAGTGGCCTGCCTCATCTGGTGAGTTCAAACCTCTGGCCTTTGG